AGGAGGAGGAGGAGGAGGAGGAGGAGGAGGTGGTGGTGGTGGTGGTGGTGGTGGTGGTGCAGAGCCTCCCCCAGGCGTGCCCATCCGCGCCCCAGCCCGGCCCCGCTGCCCCGCAGAACGTGGCTCTGCTGGAGGAGGAGGCGGACATCAACCAGCTGCCCGAGTTCTTCTCCTACGAGCACTTCTACGTCATCTACTGCAAGTTCTGGGAGCTGGACACCGACCACGACCTGCTCATCGACGCGCAGGACCTGGCGCGGCACAGCGAGCACGGTGCGCGTGCGCGTGCGGCGAGGGGTGCGGGAGCCAGGGCGCGGTGGGTCCCTAGGGTCCCCGGGTGGCCGCCCGAGCCCTTCCGTCCCATCCCTATCCCTAGGGTCCCCGGCCCCCCCCTTGGCCGGCCTGGAGCTCACGCCCGCCCACCCGCAGCCGTCTCCAGCCGGATGATCGAGCGCATCTTCTCGGGCGCCGTCACGCGGTAGGTCAGGTCGGAGTCCCCGGAGTCCCCGCCGCCCTGGTCCCAGAAGCGCCCCTGCCCGCGGGCGTGGGCAGCCCCATGAGCCGGGGCGTCGGGTCGGGGTCATCCGCAGAGGCCGGCGCGTGCAGCAGGACGGGCGGCTGAGCTACGCCGACTTCGTGTGGTTCCTCATCTCCGAGGAGGACAAGACGACGCCCACCAGGTGCTCGCGCCGCCCGCCCGGGTGCCCGGGTCCGGGGTCCCCCCGCCCGGCCCCCTGACCCGGCCCGGCCTGGCCCGCAGCATCGAGTACTGGTTCCGCTGCATGGACCTGGATGGGGACGGCGCGCTGTCCATGTTCGAGCTCGAGTTCTTCTACGCCGAGCAGAGCCGCCGGCTGGACGCCATGGGCATCGAGCCGCTGCCCTTCGAGGACTGCGTGTGCCAGGTGCTGGACCTGGTGCGGCCGCGCTGCCCAGGTGAGGGGCGCGGGGGCGGGGGGGCGCGGGGCAGGGGTGCGGAGGACCCCCGAGCCCAGCCCAGCGCCGCCGCCTGCCCGGCCGCCCATCAGGGAGGGTCACGCTGCGGGACCTGAAGCGCTGCGGGGTGGCCGGCGCCTTCTTCGATACCTTCTTCAACGTGGAGAAGTACCTGGAGCGCGAGCAGCGGGAGCAGGGGGCCCTGCTCAGGGTGAGGCCCGCCCCGCCCCGCCCCGCCCCGCCCCACCCCGGCAGAGTCCCAGCTGGCCCACCGACTCGCGCCTGTCCCTCAGGATGGCGACGGCCAGGGCCCCGAGCTCTCCGACTGGGAGCGGTTCGCCGCCGAGGAGTACGACGTCCTGGTGGCCGAGGAGGCGGCGGGCGACGCGTGGGAGGACGGGTCAGTGTGGGCCCCCCTCGTGTCCCGCCATCCCTCTCCGTCACCCCACGGTGGCACTCGGGCCCACCCTGGCCACTGTTCCGTCCCCGGCCCCTCTCCCGACCACCCCAGCCCGGCCCACAGGCAGCAGAGTCGGGGCCACCCGCGGCGCCTCTGTCCCTGTGCCCCATCCGGGCGGGCTGGGAGCTGGGGGTTCGCGGGGTCCCCGACACGCTGCCGCCTTGCAGGTCCGAGGAGGCGGCGCTGAGCCCCGTGGAGGCGGAGCAGAGGCCGCTGTTCGGGGCGGACCGGCTGGGCGCCCTGCGCCTGTGGGAGCTGCCGTGCGCGGAGGCCGAGCTGCAGCCGCTGTGACACTGCCCGCCCTCGCCCTGGCCCGCACCCATGGTCACGGGGGCGCGGCGGGGACCGCCTGGGCGTGGGCGGGCGGCTCCGACGTTTGTGTTGAGAATAAAGAGTTGAATGGTTTGCAGCCCGCGCTGTCCGTGCCTCGGCCCAGGGCGGGACAGCAGCCGCGCGCGTGGCGTCCCCGTGGGCACAGCCCCGTCCCCGCGCGGGTTCCGCCCAGCGCCCAGCAGGTGGACAGACGCCCGAGTGGGGCGGGAAGCCTCGGCAGGGCGCGTGGTCGTCCCAGCTCGGGAGGCTGAGGCAGGAGGACCCCGAGTTCCAGCATAGCCTGTGAGAATAAAAAGCGCACACGGTTTCAGGCCCTGCCCGAGACAGAAAACTAAGACCGGAAGTTTTACCAGCGGCCTGGGGACCCTGACTGGGCTCTCGCAGGGCCGGGGTCGACAGAAGGGAGTCGGAGCCGGCAGCGCGGGGAAGCCGGAGCGGGGGAGGCCCTGGCCCAGCCCCGGGGCTGCAGGAGCGGGCAGGCGAGGACAGGCGCAGGCGGCGACCCAGGGCCCTCGGGGGGACGTCCGCGCAGTGCGCCGCCGCTACAGGCACTGAAACCCTGCCGCCTCAGCCTCCCCAGTGCGGGACGGCAGGGCCCGGGCGGCGACCCTCGGCGGGTCTCCTTGGGGACCCGGGAGCGCCTCCCTCCCGCCGCCATCCAGGCAGTGAAACGCACTGTTCGCGCATGCGCGCCCCGAACCCCGGGGCTGCAGAGCGGAGGGGGACCCCGCAGGCGCGGCAGCTGCGGTGCCCGGCCCTCCCCCCTGGGACCCGCGCCCGCTGACCTGCGCCCTGCCTGGGACCCGGCGCGAGCGGGCGGGAGGGGGCCTCCGTGGCCACCGCGGCCGCCCGGGCCCGCCTTCCCTGCCAAAGGGCTCCACCCTCTCGCGCACGTGACCCGGCGGACCAATCGCTCGCTCGCCGACTGCTCCGTCAGAGGCCCCGCCCCGCCGCGTTGCTCAGAGGCGCCATGTGGGCCTTGCGGGCCGCCGTCCGCCGCGCGCCCTGGCTCTCCACCCTGGGCCTCCGCTGCCCGGCTCCCAGGGCGCCCCCGCCGCCCCATCCCGCACGCCTGCTCGCTGCCGCCTCCGCCGGCCACGGGGGCCTGGGGGACCCGGATGGGCTGGGGAGCCGACATCGGGGCCGGGCAAGCCGCCCAGGCGAGGACGAGGAAGACGAGGAGGACGAGGAGGACGAGGAGGAGGAGCTGCTGCGGAGCGAGCCGCTGCTGCCCGCCGGGACGCAGCGCGTGTGCTTGGTGCACCCGGACGTCAAGTGGGGACCCGGGAAGCCGCAGCTCACCACAGGTCACCGGGCCCCGCCGCAAGGGAAGGGGCGGGGACTCGTGGGAGGGGCTCAGAGGAGGAGCCCATGGGCGGAGGGCCAGGGGCGGGCATTCGGGAGGAGCGGGGCCGATGAGGGCGAAGCTCCGGAGAGGCGCTCGACAGGCGGGTGCTCTATTGGTCAGAGCTGGGAAGGGGCGGTGCCAAGTGGGAGGCTCCGTGGAGGCGCTGGTTGAGCGAGTACTGTATTGGTCGGGATAAGGACGAGGGGGAAGAGGGCGGCGTAACGGGGAATCGCTCAATGGGCAAGGAGGGTAGCGGAAAGGGAGTGAGGAGGGACGGGGCCTATGAGGGCGGGGCTCAGAGGAGACCATCAATGGTCGGTACTCTATTGGTTGGTCACCAGGAGGGGCGGGGCCGGTGAGGGAAGGCTCTCAGTAGGTGGAGAGGTGGAGAAAGGCGCAGGAGGCGCCGGCCAGTGAGGGCGGGGCTTAGACTCAACAGGCGGGTATTCCATTGGTCAGGGCCAAGGAGAGGCGGGGCAAAGGGAAAGCTGAAAGGGTGAGGACTCGGGAGGGCGGGGAAAGAGCTCATTGGGCAGAGATGTTAGGGGTGGAGACTCGTGAGGGGAGCTGGGGTTTAGGGGCGGTGACTCAACAAGGGGGCTGGCTGGAGGGGGCGGGGCCTTGGCGGATCCCGAGGAGGACGAGATGAGCAAAGAGCTCTAGGTGGAGGCCTTGGAGGCAGGGCTGAGGGGCGGGGCAAGAGCTGATCTGGGGGTGGGGCCATTAGGCTCCATGGGCGGGGTTTTGAGGGCAGGGCATATCCACTGAGGGGACTTACAGCCCACGAGGTGCAGTGCTGCCAGCCGTCCTGTCCGGGTGCCCAGGCTGTGCACTGCAGCACTGAGGAGCTGCAGGGGTTAGAGTTAGGTTCTGGGGAAAAGGAGCTCAGGCTGGAGGTCTGCTCACCCACCACCCCTGTCGACCCTCAACCTTCCCAGCCCAGGAGGGGGCCTGGCCCCTTCCCCAGCCCCAGCCCCTGGCAGCCGCAGACCACTTCCTGTCTCTGCATTTGCCTGTCCTACACAGTTCACAACAGCGGCCTCGCACTCCGTGTCCTTCTGTGTCCAGCGTCTCACCCTGAGCCCCGTGGCCTCGGGGTCCACCCATGTGGCAGCTGTTTTAGAGCTCTGTTCCTTCTCACGGCCACATGATATTCCACCGTGTGCCTGTCTGCCTTGTCTCCTGCTGGCTTCTGCCTCTTGGCTGCAGTGAATGCCATGAACAGCTTTTCCCTTGCTAGGGCTGGGGCTGCGGACCCATGTGGTCATTTAACCAGCAGCTCCTCGGTGCCCGGCAGTTGGCTGCATGAAGCTGGAGGGCTGGGAGCTGGGACCCCACGGGAGTGGACACAGCATGGCTCGGTTTGCTGATGGCTCAGATAGGAGGTTCAGAAGTGGGAGCCAGGCTGACCCCATTGCCTGTCCCGGCCGGTGGAGGAACAGCTGGGGAGGACAGGGACCCCTGGCCCTCACAGTCCATGTGGCCGATGCTTGATGCTCCCTGCCTGTTTCCCCACCTGGGCTTGTCCTGGAGCCATGGCGGGACGCGTGTCACCTCCGCCCAGTGTGCACTGAGAGCCACGGAGGGGCCGCCATTCAGTCGGCTGCCATGGTCCCCAGCTCCCTCCACAGGGAGACCCTCTTGCCTCTGCCTCCTTCTCACTAAATGCACCCCAGTTTCCCGCCACCCCACCCTCACCCAGACACCACAGCACGCAGGGCTATCGCCAGGTTCCTGCTTGGCCCCACCTCCTCCCCGTGCTGGTCCCCCCCAGTCCTCTGCCGAGGCCCTGTGGGAAGCAGCCGTCCAGCTTGGGGTAAGCGCAGGCCCAGGCAGCGTGCGTGGGGCAGAGTCCCTGACCCAGCCTCACCTGTGCCCACAGCAGAGTGGCAGGTGGCGGAGGCGGCCGCACTGGTCCACACGCTGGACGGCTGGTCAGTGGTGCAAACGGTGGTCGTGCCCACCAAGACGCCCCACAAGAAGCTCATCTTCGGCAGAGGGAGCTTGGAACGCCTGACGGGTGAGTCTGTGTGGGCCGGTCCCTGCCCCTCTCCTTCCCTTCTGGGTTTTTTTTTTTTTTTTTAAAAAAAGGAAAGAGCCAGGCGTGGTGCCACACACCCGTCCCAGCACTCAGGAGGCTGAGGCAGGAGAATCCCTGTCACTGTGAGGCCAGCCTGGGCTGCATAGTGAGTTCAAGCTCAGCACCAACTGCATGACAAGACCCTGTCTCACAAAAACGAAAAGGGAAGGTTTATTTTGGCTCATGGTCTCAGAGGTTTTAGTCCATGGTTGTCGGGTTCCACTGCTTTTAGGCCTGTGATGAGGCAGAAACATCACGGCGGTTGGGAGGGGTGGGGCAAAGCTGCTCACATCATGGTGGCCAAGAAGGAGAGAGCCGTGAAGCGCCTGGGGTCCTCATATGCCCATATAGCCACACCCCCAGTGACCTCACTTCCTCCCACTAGGCCACGCCCCTTAAAGGTTCCACCGTTTCCCTACAGGGTCTAAGCCTTCAATGCCAGATCCCAACCATAACATTCCGCCCTGGCCCCCAAGTGCGTGTGTCCATCTCAATGCAAAACACATTCATCTTCTCTCCAAGAGTCCCATCGTCTAAACAGTTCCAGCACTCATAGTTTTAGAGGGTTGCATAGCTGGCTGCTCCAGTGGTCTCAGGGGTTTCAGTCCATGCCCAGCTGCTCCAAGGCAAGAACGTCATGGCAGATGGGTGTTGGGGAGGAAAGACGCTCGTGTCATGGCAGCCAGGAAGAGAGAGAAGGGAGGAGCTAGGCAGGGAGATACAGTGTAACACACATGACATCCCCTTGACAACCAGGCCCCGGCTCCTAACAGTTCCTAACATTCAGCTGTGAGCTTGTCAGTGGGTTAATGCACTGATGACATCAGTACCCTCATGATCCACTTACTTCTGCAAAACTTCCCCAGGTTGTAGGGACACTTGCAATCCAACGATGGTGGTATGTACATGCAGGTGTGTGTCAGACCCACACCCCTCGAGGCAGACCCCACCTCACCTACTTCCTGTATAGCAAGCTCAGGGGCCCCAGGAGCAGGTCCTCAACGTGCATCTCACGGGCGCGTCTGGAGCTCAGACCCTGGGAATGCTGAGCTCTGACAGGGCCTCTGTTCCCCTTAGAGAGGATCAGGGCGTCTCCAGAAATCACGTCCGTGTTCCTGAACGTGGAGCGGATGGCCAGCCCCACCAAGGTACTCCAGTGCCCCCCGCAGAGGGAACAAAGCGGGCACAGGGCGTGATGGTGCCCTCCCCCCCGCCCCGCTTCTTGTGCAGTCAGCTGCCGTGGCCGAAGTCCCCTTGCAGACCCCTGGCTCACCCTCTCCTTTCTAGAAAGAGCTGGAGGCAGCCTGGGCCGTGGAGGTGTTTGACCGCTTCACCATCGTCCTGCACATTTTTCGCTGCAATGCCCGCACCAAGGAGGCCAAGCTTCAGGTGGCGCTGGCTGAGATCCCCCTGCTCAGGTATGCTGCTGGCTGCAACACCTGGTGGTGACAACACAGGGCCACGGAGCCCCGTTCTCTTTCCATGTGTTGGGGCCTTAGCGGGCAGGTGGAGGCATGCGGCGTGGCAGCCTCTCAGGTGACCTGTATGCCATGCAGGCCCGGGAGGTGGCCCACCCGCCCGCCCATCAGGACCCCCACCCCACTGCAAAAGCTCCACCCTGGGCTGTGGGTGAGCAGCAATGAGGAGGGTGGGGTCCCAGGGCCCAGTCCCTCCTGCCATCCTGGGTTCTCAGCTAAACGTCCTCTTCACCTTGGCACTGGGGTCCTTGGGCTTTGCCATCTTCTTGCTGGGAGGGACCCCACTGTCTGCGACCACTTACGGGGTCCCTTCCTGTTTCAATGCCAGGTCGAACCTGAAGCACAATGTCACCCGTCTGGACCGAAAAGTGGGGGCCTCCAGATACATCATGGGGTCAGGTGAGGGCCACACCTTCTGAAGTGCTTGTCCGATGGGCTTAGTCTCTTGTCAACATGGAAACAAATCATGCTGTGACTGCCTCACTCTGTTTTCTGCCTCTGTGATGAATGCCACGGGCTGGGAAATTGGTAAAGAATGGAGGTTTATTGGCTCAAAGAGTTTTCGAGTCCATGAACTGATTGCCCACTAATCCATGAGTGGGCCAATCCACTGATTCATGAATGGGTTAATCCGCTAATCTACAAATACATTAGTATATAAGTGGGTGATCCCACTAATGTATAAATATATAAGTAGGTTAATGCAGTGGCTTATGAATACATCAGTATATAAGTGTATTAACCCACTAATTTATAAATACACTAGTATATAAATGGACAAATCCATTAGTCTATAAATCCACTAGTATATAAATAGATTAATCCACTGATCCAGGAGTAGACCAGCTCACTAATCTATGAATTGCCTAGTAGGCTGATCCACTAATTCATGAATGCATTAATCCACTATCTATACATTAGACTATAAGTGGGTTAATCCACTAGTCCATGAGGAGGTAGAACTACTCATCCATGAATGGCCTAGTCCACTAATCTGTGTGTGGGTGAATCCATTAATCTATGACTTGATTAACCTACCAATGTTCGAGTAGTCTATTTCGCTAATTCATAAAGGATAAATCCACCCATTTATGAGTACATAAGCCCATAAGTGGACTAATACAGTAGTCCATGGACCTACTCATCCACGAATGGCCTAGTCCACTAATCTATGCGTGGACAAGCCCATTCATCTATGACTTCATTAATCCACTAATCCACCAGTGGGCCGATGTGCTAACTTATTAGTGGATTAATCCACCAATCTATGAGTGGTTACTGTATAAGTGGACTAAGCGGCAGTCTGTAAGTAGCCTAGTGTAGTCTACAAGTCCCCTAGTTCACTGCTCAATGAGTGGGCTAACTCACTAACTCATACATGGACTAGTGTGCCAGTCTCTGAACAGATCAATGTAGAAGTGGATTAATCCACCAGTCCTTGAGTACGTAGCCGACTGGCCCACAAGCAGGTAACCTGCTCATTTATAAATGGATCACCCGTTAACCCGTGAGCAGAAATTCACCTATCTGATGGCACTGACTTGTGCGTGAGGTATTCTGCCAGCCCCTGTGGTCCATGAACTCATTCGTCCACTGATGAGCATCCAGCCTGCCGCCGGCCCCCGGCCTGTGGCTTTCGGGACTGGAGTTCCAGAATGCGAAATCCAGGGAGCCGGTATCATAGTGGCTCACTGGGGCCGGCCTGGCACGCGGCCCGTGTTCTGGGGTCAGGACGTCGACTCGCCGTCCAGGCCACCCCCGTGGAGGGAGGTCTGGGGACCTCAGAGGGTGGGGCCCGGGCCCAGGCGGTCCCTCGTGTCCTGAGGACGTGGCCCACCTGCCCCACTGGTGCCCAGGGCCCGGTGCTGCCGCCTGCTGACTCTGTTGTGATCGCGACTCCCACCTCGGCCCGCAGGGGAGTCCTTCCTGCAGGTCCAGCAGCGGCTGCTGAAGGAGAAGGAGATGAAGATACGGCGTGCACTGGAGCAGCTCCGCGGGAAGCGGGTGCTGCTTCGGAAGCAGCGGACCAGGCGGGAGTTCCCGGTGGTCTCCGTGCTGGGCTACACCAACTCCGGTGAGGGCGCCCAGTCCTGTACGGGTCCCGTGCTGTCCGAGTGTGGCCAGCGCGCTGGGATGTCTCTGGCCTCACGGCGCCCACGTCCCCAGGGAAGACCTCGCTGATCCGGGCCCTGACCGAGGACCCTGCTGCACAGCCCCGGGACCAGCTGTTCGCCACCCTGGATGTCACGGCGCACGGGGCCTGGCTGCCCTCGCGGGTGCCCGTGCTCTACATGGACACGGTGGGCTTCCTGTCCCAGCTGCCGCACAGCCTCATCCAGTCCTTCTCTGCCACGCTAGAGGACGTGGCCCACGCAGTGAGTGTGCTGTGGAATGCAGGGACCCATGCGCTGGGCCCCAGTGGCACTGCGCTCCCAGACCCAGGGCCTTGGCAGGGCTTAAACCCGAGGGGTCCGGCAGAGCCCGGGAGGCTGAGACAGAGGCGTCCCGGGCCGCTCCGCTGTCCCTCCACAGGCTCCAGGGAGACCCTCCTGCCTCCGTCTCCACGCGGCTTCTCCCTGTATCTGTGTCTCCTCCTCTGTCTCTCGTGAGGACGCTGCTGTTGGATTCAGGCAGGAGGCAGGAGGATCTCTATGAGTTCAAGGCCAGCCTGGGATACAGAGTGAGACTTTAAAAAAATTTTTTAAGTAAAGAAAAAAGATTTTTTTAAAACGTGCATTCCAACAAAGAGATCCAAAACACACACCTGCCTGTCTCCCATGGCACAAGTACACGTGCCTCCTAGTTTCTGTATTTTCCAAATTTTGCAACCGTATGCAAGCCTTTTATAAGTAGGGATAAAACATTCTTTGAAACGTGAACTAACTGGGCCAGGGATTTAGCTCAGTGGCGCTGCACCTGCCTCGCAAGTGCAAGGTCCTGAGTTCCATCCCTGGTACCCCAAAAAAGGGGAAATGAATTGCCAGATATGGTGACACACATCTGTAATCCTAGCACTCAGGAGGCTGAGGCAGGAGAATCTCTGTGATTTTGAGCACACTGGGGTACATAGTGAGTTCGAGGCCAGCCTGCACTCCCTAGGGACACCCTGTCTCAAGACAAAGCCAATCAGTAAAACGACGTAAAGCTGGGCATGGAGGTTTCTGCCTGTAATCCAGGATACCTGGGGAGCTGAGGAAGGAGGGTCACAAGTCCAATCTCAGCCTTGGAGGCTTGGCAGGACCCTGTTTCAGGATAAAACCACTGGGCTGGGCTGCAGCTCACAGGCCTGACTCCCACCCCATAGCCCTGCCCTCTGAGCCCTCCCGGCAGCTGGGGGCCTGCAGGTCGCTGACCCTGGGCAGTCCCGCCTGCAGGACGTCCTCATGCACGTGCGGGACATCAGCCACCCTGAGAGCGAGCAGCAGAAGGCCACCGTGCTGTCCACGCTGCGGGGCCTGCGCCTGCCCGCCCAGCTGCTGGACTCCATGCTGGAGGTGCACAACAAGGTGGACCTGGTGCCTGGGTGAGACAGGCGGGGGCGGGGCGATGGGCAGGGCGGGGCAGGGACACGGACGTCCCGGGCAGCACGCTGAGCGCCCCCACACAGGTACAGCACCGCGGAGCCTGGCGCCCTGGCCGTGTCCGCCCGCCTGGGGCTGGGCCTGCGGGAGCTGGAGGCCTCGCTGGACGCCACCGTGATGGAAGCCACCGGGAGACGCGTGCTGACCCTCCGCGTGCCGCTGGCCGGGCCGCAGCTCAGGTGAGCAGGACCCGGCAGGCGGCCCTACACGCCTGTCAGCGCACCACTCGGGAGGCCGAGACGGGAGGGTCCCTGGGAATTCGAGGCCAGGCTGGGCCACCTAGGAAGCGCCGGTCTCCAAAGAAGAAAGGGCCCTCGGAGCCTGAGCCCGGGGCTCACGCCGCTCCCCGTGTCCCCAGCTGGCTGCACCGGGAGGCCACCGTGCAGGACGTGACCGTGCAGCAAGAGGCGGGGGCCGCCCTGGTCACCGTGGTCATCAGCAGCGTGGCCTACGCCAAGTTCCGGAAGCTCTTCCCGGAGTAGACGCCGGCCGGCCGGGAGCTGTACTGACTCAGCCTCAGCAGAGCAGGCAGGCGTGGTGGCCGCGGTCCTCACACTTCTGGCAGCCGCTGGTCAGTGGCTGGTGTGAGGGGAAACTGGTCGTGCCGGGCGTGCTGTGACCCAGCACTCGGGAGGCTGAGGCAGGAGGATCAGCGTGAGTCCGAGGTGGCCCTGTGAGACCCCGGGTCCCGTGTCCCGGCCAGGAGGACAGAGCGGTCCCCGAACAGGACAGCAGGACCGTCCCCACAGTGGGGGCTCTGCTCGGCATCCCCACGGCTGAGCGGTATGCAGGACAGCCAAGCTCACGCCTCTCCGATGGCCTCGTGGAGAGAACGCACCGCGGCAGAGTCTGGTTTTCTTTGCTCTATTATTTTAATTGTGTGTGATCTTTAAAGAGAAGTGTTACGTGGGCCGGGAATTTAGCTCAGTGGTTTCACCGCCTGCTGCCCAAGCGCAAGGACCCGAGTTCGATCCCCGGTACCAAAGAAAAAAGTGTTCAGTGAAAATAACATTTCGGAAGCCAGGCCTGGTGGCAAACACCTGCAGTCCTGAATGCGGGAGGCTGAGGCAGGAGGGTCTCCCTGCGCTCAAGGGAGGTACATGGCGAGACCCTGTCTCCAAACAGCAGCAAATGAGAGTCGGGAAAAGCGGGGCGGACACATTACCCCAGGACGCCCGCTGGCCAGCGGGTGCGCTCCCCGGGTCGGTGGGCTTTCCCGGCAGGGTCTCCGTGGGCCCCGGGCTGTGTTCCGCTGCGACCCCCACAGCCGGCCCCTGGGAGCTGCAGTCCCAGGTCGCAGGTCGCCGCGGCCTGGACAGCCTGGGTCCTGCTGCAGACGCCGTAGGAGGGGGCCGGGGTCCCCGTCCCTCTGTCCACTCCGTCCCCACCCGACCGGCGCCGTCAGCCCCGCAGCAGCTTCTGGTTGAGGCCGATGACGTCGGTGACGAAGGTGTCGGCCCCGATGAAGTCGCCGGCGATGATGTTGGTGCAGCTGGGGCCGGGCCCGGGGCTCTGCTCTCGGACCCACGCGCTCAGGGCCGGCAGCGCGGGCAGCGTCAGCTTTGCCAGGGACTGGGCTGGGTGCGCGAGGATGTAGCCCAGGGACTCCGTCAGGTTGGTGCCCGCCACAAACAGGCCCCCTGCACGGGAGGAGCGGGTTACACGGACGTGGCCTGTGAGCCCCGGCCGGGGCCAAGGACGTCCCAAGGCCCACAGGGGGACAGTAAAGTCCCGAGACATCCACATCCTGCTCCCTTGCGTGTCCGACACCAGCAGCCCCAGGGACTCCAGAGCTGGCAGTGCCCAGTGGTTCCCTCGGTGTGCACCCCACAGTGTAAGAAATGCAGGTGACCGGGACCGGGCACTGAGAGTCCTGGTCCCTGAGAGAAAGACAGAGACAGAAGGACGGAGATCTCAAGAGCAAGACACAGATGCAGCCGGGTGGGGAAGCGGGGCAGCCCCTGTGCAGGGCCCACGCCTGCGGGCTCTGCTCAGAGTGGAGGTGCTGGGTGAGCCGGGCACGCGTGTGTGCAGTGCACGTGTCTGAGAAGCCCTCGTGGGATGCCGCAGCTGCAAACACACCTCGGGTGGGCCCCCGGGCGGAGAGTCCTACCCTCCACACTGCCGCATGGAGGACGTGGGTGTGCGGGTGTGCACGTGTGCCTCTGATACACGAGTTTGTGTGCACATGGATCGGTGTAAGTGCACGTCTGGTCCACACAAGTGCGTGTCACACACGTGCACTGGTGCCTAAGTGTGTTATGTACACAGCTGTAGCCACACATGCTTCCATGCTCGTGCGTGTTTGTGTACCGAGCAGGGTGCAGGTCTTGTGCATATGATCCTAGATAAGCGTGTGTACAGACCGGTATCAGTGTGCTGCAAATGTGCGTCCCATACGCGTGTGCGTGCCCACGTACGAGTGGCTACAGCAAGTGCATGTATTACCCGTGTGCTTCCGTGGGTAGGCGTGTTTCCTGTGTGCTCGTGCTTGTGAGCATAACGTGCATGCCCCCACGTGTGTGCACACCCATGTCTGTGTGCATGCTGTCCCTGGGTTTGGGGGCCACACCGGGGCGGTGCCGGCCGGGCTGTCTGTGTGGGGCCCTGCCGCCCCCCGTACCTGGCCGGCCGCAGCTCTTCATGGTCTCCAGGTAGCGGATGAGCGCCTGGCTCTTCACCTGGTCGCCCCACCAGTAGGGGATGCCGGGCCAGAGCTCGGGGTGCCGGGCCACGGTGGCCTCATCCTCGTAGGACAGCAGGACCTGCTGGCCGCGCGCCCACAGCTGCCGCAGCGTGGGGACCTCCTGCGGGGTTGGGGGGGTGGTGGTGGGCGGGGCGTGGGGTCCCGAGGCCCAGGCGCGCCCCCCTCCCGGCTGAGCCCCCACCCCGCCCTGCGCTCACCCCCCGGGGACACAGCGCGGCCCCGAAGATGTTCTTGATGCAGGTGACCAGGTACTCATGCAGGTCCTCGCCGAGCCCCTCGAAGTTCCTGCAGGCCACGACCAGCACCTCGCGCGGGTGCTGCTGCAGCCACTCCGAGATCTCCGTGAGCGTGTCCTGGGGCCGGGCAGGGGAGGCCAGGGGACATGGGGAGAGGCCACGGGGACACGGGGAGAGGTCACGGGGACACAGTGAGGCCAGGGGACATGGGGAGAGGTCACAGACATGCGCGGTGAGCTGCAGACAGCGGGGGGGCCACAGGGAGAGGAGGGCTGCGGGGCTGCACGCCTGTGTGCGTGTGTGTGCGCGTGTGAGCGCAGCCCAGTGCAGGGCCCGTGCCGAGGCGGGAGGTGTCAAGTCCGGAGACCCCAGGTCCCCTCAGCTCGCAGGGGGACGCAGGGGCCGGCAGCGAGCCCTCGGGGGCCTGAACTCGGGCTGCAGCCCGAGGACCCCACTGCCGGGTCAGGGTCAGGCCCTGCAGCGCGGCCCCAGGCCCCACCGCTGCGCTCACCTCCACCAGCGCCGTGGTGTAGACCATGTGCACGAAGTGCAGGTTCCGCCGCGAGCCGCCCGGCTCGTGGGCCACGCGCAGGTCCAGGTAGCGCACGCCCGCGGCCAGCTGCTCCGAGACGTCCAGCGTCTGCGCACGGCGTCGGACTCAGCGCTGCCGCCCAGGCGGCTGGGCCCCCGCCGTGCCCCCCGCATCTGCATCTGCAGAACCCAGGGCCCCGCCCCTCCCCGGGCTGGGACAGAGAAGCCGGGCGGGGAGGTGGCGCACGCCTGTCAACCCAGCACTGGGGAGGCCGAGGCAGGAGGGTCCCTGCGAGGTTGAGGCCAGCCCGGGCTCCACAGTGAGTTCAAGGCCAGTCTGGACTATGTGGCGAGACCCAGTCCCCAAAGCTCAGTAGGAAACAAAAGTAACAGAGAAAGTAAAAAGTTAATATGAACACTAGAGGACCAGGGATTTAGCTCAGTGGTTTTGCCGCCTGCTGCACAAGCGCAAGGACCCAAGATCGATCCCCGGTACCAAAAAACAAAAAACAAAACAAACAAACAAAAAAACTAACTAGAGCAACACAAAATAATCCTGAAAAAAAAAAATGAACGTGAAGTAGTGAAATAACTAATGATGAAAGAGCAAAATTGTAATATGAACATTAGCAAAAAAGGGGCAAACCATAGCCTGAGAGCAAAATTCAAAACTAGTAAAAGAAGAAAATAATGAAAAAGCAAAAGTTAACACTAATAGAACACAAAATAATAATGACAAAGCAAAAACTGGCATTAGGAAGATGAACACCAACTGACAATTAAAATCAACCTGGCTCAAAAGGGCAAGGTCCTGAGTTCGATTCCCAGTACCAAAAAAATAAAATAAATCAAATATTAATGTAAAGACAAAACAAAAATTGTTTTCCCTCCCTATGCCCAAAATAACAGAAAAAAATGAAATATATGAATATATGAAAGAAAAATAAAACGGTTCGTATTCCCTCTCTCTACCCAAAACAATAATGAAAAAGCAAAGAACAACATAAAAAAGGAAAAGAAAATGTTTCTATACTCTCACCCAAACACTGGGTAAAAAAACAAGACTTAATGTAAAAATAAAGTGAAGGAAAAGAAGATAGAATTATGCTCTCTACACAGAATAGTAACGAAAAAGCAAAAACTGATATTAGAGCAAAATAGTAAAAGACACACAAAACAATCATGAAAAAGCAGAAGTTATTCTTCCGCTACCCAAAATTATAAAAAAGGTTAAGAAAAGTTAACATTCAGAAGGAAGCCAGCATGGCTCACACCCGCTATCCTCTCTGGAGGCTGAGGCGGGAGGATTTCAAGTTCCAGCCCAGCCTGGACAACTTCGGGAGACCCTGGCTTAAAAGAAAACCGGCAAGGCGCCTCCCCACGGCATCAGATAATCCCACAAAATCACTCTGTTGGGGGGGACGGGGTACCGGGTCTTGCTCTGTAGTCCAGGCTGAACTCACTATGCAGAGGAAACTCGTGGAAATCCTCCTGCCTCAGCCTCCTGAGTGCTGGAGGAAGGCCAGGCATTCGGCACCCAAACCACGTTTCCATCCGCGGATTGCTCCTCTAGGAAGGTTTCCGGCACTGCCCAACGGCTTAGCCCTCAAGATCCGGGCCCCAACCCACCCGGGACCCCCGAGGGTCGGTCTCCAAGGCGCCCGGCCAGCCTCGCACCTGCGTGACTGACCACTTCAGCACCACGGGCTGCGTGATGCAGGGAACCGCCTTGCTCAGGAAGTGCAGGAGCCGCGACTGGGTGCGGGACACGGGCGACCCCCTGTTCAGGCAGTAGGTCATGGTGTCGTGGCTGCCTGTGAGAGACGGGCGGGCGTCGCACCGGGCATCAGGCCGTGCGTCCCCTCACACCCGGGGACTGCGCAGGGGACCTCGGGGGACGGAGGGCGGCCGGGACGCAGCCTGCCTGCTGCTGGGGCCAGGCCCTGGGTGGAAGCCTCCTCCGGCGCGGGGACGGGAGAGGACACACGAACCGTGCGTGTCTTAGGTCTGCGACGCAGGCCGTCTCCACGCGGGGTGTGTGTGACTCCGCCTCTCCTGCACGGCTCGGCTCTCTACGTACCCAGCGCCTTGGATTTTCAATGCATTTCCGGCGCATTTCCGGCCCCGTCTCACTCTGTGGCCCAAGCTGCCCTGGAACCCTGCAGATCCTCCGGCCTCAGCCCCCAAGCCCCGCACAAGGGTCTGGATTTCTCCCTCCCCGCCCAGGGAACCATGGGGCCCATTTCACGCTCATTTCCTCACTGGCCGAGCGGGGTGCGGACGGGAGGCGCCCGGGGCGACCGGGGCCGGGGCCACCCCTGGGGCTCCTGAGGGAGCGGAGCACCTCAGCCACCCCTCCCGCTGCCTCGGCCGCCTCTGGAAACCGGGCTCCGACAGCAGCGGGGCGGGAGGGCTGGGGTCCCCAGCGCGGCCGAGAGAGGCGGGCAGCCTGGCGCGGGCTGCGGGGAGCGAGCCGGTGGGTGGGTGGGTGCGCGCGCTCCCAGCACGCCCCGCCAAGCACACGCACGTATCCCACGCACGCCCTGGCGAGCACACGCACGTATCCCACGCACGCCCCGCCGAGCACACGCACGTATCCCGTGCACGCGCACACGCGCCGCCGAGCACTCGCGGGCCTGAGCTCACCCGGGAGGGACAGCCGGTGCAGAGGGACGTCCCACAGCCGCGGGCACAGCCCCGACATCCAGTCCGCGGTAGCCCCGCGGCCCTCGGCGCGCCGGGTCCCGAAGATGCCGGTGGCGCTCAGCTGTCCGGCCATGGAGACCTGCGGCGGGCGGGCGGGCAGAGAGGGTGTCGGGGTTAACACGCTGCTCACGCTGGCCGCTGTGGCTGGGCGGGACGCGGTGGCTAGGGTCACAGCGGGAGCAGAGGAATTCGGGGTGAAGGGGCGCTGTCAAGGGCTGAGCTGCTTCCCCAAAGGTTTGTTGATTGACTCTCTGACCCCAGGACCTCAGGATGCAGCTGTGGATGAGTCTTAAAGAGCCATGAAGGTAAACTGAGTCCCCATTACGCTGAGGGCTCCCGATGTCACCCTGGTCCCGGGAATCGGGCGAGGGGACGTGGACGCCCCAGGAATCGGGAAGTGCCCCGCCTGGGCCCGGCCCCCCCCCCCCCGCCTGTTGGTTTTCTAGACCCGAGAAAGTGCCGAGCTGCCCCCCCCATGCCCCGAATCCGAACCCGCCCGCGGTCGCCCCCGTCAGTAAACACGCAGGGCACACGCCCGGAGCCCTGTCCGCCTTGTCCGTGTCCCTCTGTCTGCCGAGTGTCTGACTCTCGCGCTCTCTCCTCCCCACCCCTCGGCACGTGCTAGTCGAGTGAATAACAAACCTCCCGGTCCGCACACTGCTCCGAGTCTCCGGGCCCCGCACACCGGGACAGCTCTCCCTGCGCGGCTGGGGTCCCTGCGGGGAAATCCGGGTGAAATGCGAACTTGTTGGCCCCCGCGCCTACCCGGCCCTTCGCTCCTCGAGACGCCCCCGCGCCTCGTGACCAGCACTCAGGGCCCTCGAGAGCGGCCTCAGAACGGCGGCCCTGGGAGTGGCAGCGCTCCAGCCTCTGAGTCCAGGTGCTGATTACAAACCGGAGGCTTAGCCGGGCGTGGGGGCGCGCCTGTCGGCCCAGCACCAGGGAGGCTGAGGCAGGAGGATCTCTGAGAGTTTGAGGCCAGCCCGGACTGCACAGTGAGACCTTGTCTCCAAAAACACACCCCAAAACCAAACAGAAGGAACACCAGGCCCTCAGCAGCACGCCTGCCACACCTCCAGCCCGACCTTTGGCCCGTCCTGAGATGTGGGAATTTACCTGAAGGCTGAGCAACGCCCCCAGGGGCCTCCCGCTAAGATCCCCGGGGGGGGGGGCAGATGGCGACACTGCGTGTCCAGCCAGAGGACGGAGCCTGGGCCGACTAGTCCACCCCGGGGCAGGACAGGCTTCGGGACAGACTGCCCACTGGGTCGGGCGGGGGGTCACGGTCCCCCCCTGACAGCCTCCCCCCTGGAGCGGTGGAAAGACCCTTCCCCATGGCAACAGACCCCTCCCCATGGCACCAGATCCCATGGCAACAGGCCCCTCCCCATAGCAGCAGACCCCCTCCATGGCAACAGCTCCCATGGCAACAGACCTCTCCCCACAGGAGCAGACACCCCCATGGCAACAGACCCCTCCCCATGGCAACAGACCCCTCCCCATGGACTCCCGATGTCCACCTCTACCTCAAGCTCTGAGCCAGGCTGCAGCCTCCGGAGCCCCAGGTGGGGTGGGGGGTGGGGTCCCCTCCGTCCAGGCGGCCCCCAGGACGCAGGGCTCAGACGGCCCAAGGGGTCTGCGCAGCAGGACGGCTGCCCCATCACGCGGGGCCACCTCCCGACCCCAAAGGGCTCTGGGCCTGGGGACAGGAGCCCCGGGCTCAGCAGGCGACAGGAGGTGACTCGGGCGGCCTGCAGCTACCTCTGTCCCCCGGGCCCGGACATCCCCGAGAGGCAGCTGCTGGAGGGGCGGGCGGGGCGAGGCGGGGCCAGCGCCGAGGACAGGGATGCAGGGCCGCCAGGCGCAGTGCTGCCCCCATCAGAGGTGGCCCTGGGGACCTGGGGTCCCCCGCGCCGACCACTCCACGCCCCGCCCCGGGGACTCGGGCCCCCCAGCCCTGGCAGCTTCTCCCCAGGGCCCGCCGACCCCAGCCCCATCCCGCACGCCAGCCCGGCCCGGCCCCGCACGCTCACCGGCCTGGGAGCCCGGCCTGTCCACCTGAGCGGCTCACGGGGCGCTGCGAGCCGCACAGAGGGCGGACCAGGACGGTGGCTCTGGACCCCGACCGGACGGCGCTGCGTGCCCAGGCTGGGCCGGGCCTCCTCCGCCCTCTGAGCCAGCGTGGAAGACTCAGCCCACGATCGCGCATACCTGGGCCCACGCCCGCGCCCCGCCCGCCCCAGCCGGGACCCCGGCCTCTTCCGGGGAAGACGCCCGCATAGCTTCCCGCTGACTCCCCGACACCGAGCTGTGGCCTTCCTGCAACCCCCGCCCACGGTGGAGGCCGCTCCCGCTCCCGACCTGACCCGGCCGGGCCCAGGGAAGCCAGTGAAGCCGCCTGCAGCGCTGTCTGCACCCGGGGGTGTGCACGGGCGGAGGAGGCGCGGGGTCCGATGTGCAGACCGCCTGCCTGCCTGCCTGCCTGCCTTTCTTCGCTTCTAGTTCTGGCTTGGGGGTGTAGGGTCGCTGTGCGGCCCAGGCTGGCTCGGAACTCAAGGCAACCTCCTGCCTCAGCCTCCAGAGTGAGCGAGCGCTGGCAGCTTTCCGAATCTTTCTGCAGCAAGACCAACCCGGGCTGCTGGTTTCACCCTGGCTCTCAGGGGGAGGAGCAGCGCCGGGCGTGCGGACTCGAGCTTGGTCTGGGGGCCCAGGAGTCACGGGCGCAGCGGGGACGTGTGTCTGCCTGTGCCCCTCCAGCACCCACACGGGGCGCGCTCCTGCCCCCTGCTCACTTCCCAAGGAAAGCTGCCCTCCCATCACCTTCTAACTCCCATTAGTAAAAAACAAGGACCCCGCAGGCGTAGGGGCACGCCCCTCGGCCCCCCTCGGAGGCTGCGGCAGGAGGGTCGCCGTGAGTTCTGGGGAGTGAGACCCTCCGGTGAAAACCTGAATGGATGAGTGGGCGCAAGCACCCACGCCAGCCAGCCGGCGGCACCTCAAGTGCTGAGCGGACCCGCAGGGCCCCCGCTGCTGTCCCCAGTATCTGCCCACTGCTGGGGTCACCCCAGGCCACCCGGGCCCACGCAGAGCAAACAAAGCCTCCCCTCCTCTGGTTTCGACACCCGGGCTTTGATCCCAGCCCCGGGCCGGGTCCTTCCGTCCCGAGTGGCCCTTGTCCTGGGTCACCTGCTTCCCACGAGACCAGGCTGAGGTCAGGGAGCCCCCCCCCCGCTCCCCTGCCCTGTGTCCCCCAGTCCCCCGCCACCCCTCTGAACCTGTCCCCATCCGGTGCCCAGAGCAATGGGGACCCGGTCAGCTCCGTGCCTTCCGCCCCCAGGTGCCCAAAGCCCAGGGCGGGGCCAGGTGCTCGGCGTGGCCCGGGCAGAGGGGCCCTGCAATGTGCAATGTCCCGGGGCAGGCGGGCGGGCGGGAAGGACCCCAAGCCACCACACCCGGCTCTTCCCAGCTATTTTTGGTTTGTTTGTGTTGAGACAGAGGCTCGCTGTGCCGCTCACTCAGGCTCGCCTCCAACTCACCGAGACCCTCCCGCCTCAGCCTCCAAGGGCCCTGCTTCGCCCTGTCCTCCCTCTGGGTGTCAGGTGGACACGGCCACCGTGCTGTCCCCACCTGCTCCCGTGGCATCACCGGCGCCTCCTCCGCCCCGTGCTCCGAGTGTGACATCACCCCACTCCACTCCTGCTGGCCTGGCCAAGTCACCTGCTCTCCGGCGCGACGGGGCGGGGGCCACCTACCCGAGCTGTCCCTTGTCCACCCCTCCCCTGGGCCCTGGGCCATGTGGCCGCTCTGTCCCTGAGCACGGGACTTCAAGAAGGAGCTCGGAGGAGTCCATGACCGCCCTGCCTCAGCCTGGCCTGGTCCGGCCTGGCCGGACCACTGGGCGGGGGGTGGGGTCCCCAAGATGACCTCGACAGCCCCTGGGTGCTGGAGCCGTCCTGGTCTCTGAGATGGGTCCTGAGGTGCTTTTTCACTCTGTTGTTTTCAGTCAGGGTCTCACTGTGCAACCCCGCCCTGTGGTGACCCTCCTGCCTCAGCCTCCCGAGTGCTGGGAAGACAGGCCTGCACCACCTCCATGCCTGGCTGGGCCTCAGAGACTGGTGGCCCAGGTGCTAGAGAAGCTCAGGGACCTGTCCACTCCTCACCCTGCTCCAAAGCGGACCCCACTTCCCGGAAGACCCTGCGTGCCCCAACAGCACAGGCCAGGCATCGTCCACGCGCACCGGGCACCTCATGCTCTACAGAGCCACGCGCTGCCCATGTGAGGCGCACCCGAGGAACAGGGCTCACCCCTGTGATCCCAGCACTGGGGAGGCTGAGGCGGGAGGATCGCCACGAGCTTCAGGCCAGTTACATAGTGAGACCCTGTTTCAGAAAAACAAACACAGAAACAAACAAGTAACAGGTGGGATGCTTTTCCGGGCCATTTTGATCTATTCGGTCCTGCAGAACCCAGGGCCTCTCGATTGGAGATTGCGAAACTCACAGGTAGGAAAAGGGAAGGAAAAATAAATGCAGGCGCAAGTGGTCAGGTGTGGAACTGCCACTCCACTGCACTGTTATTCGGTCTAATCGTTTTTCAGTTTCCCTCCGAGGTCTCCGGGAATGGGGTCTGCTGAGTTGCAAAATACTGGCTTTGTCTTTTCCCAGTTTCCGGACAAAATTCAACTCTTCACAAGGTCCTGAGTTCCTTCCCCAGTAACAAAAACCAATATTGCTTCTTGTTGCACTGCCCGGGGATTTCAGGAAAAAGCCAGAACACCGTGTGGGGTCCTCTTTGTTTGTTTGTGTGTTTGTTTTTGTGGCAGGGTCTCCCTTTCTAGTCCAGGCTGGCTGCACACTCCCGGAGAAGACCCCTCGCCTCAGCCTCCCGAGTGCTGGTGTTACAGGTGCGCATCTCCCAGGCGCGCCATCCTAGCCTGGCTGCAGAGCCGGGATCTCACCTGAGGCGGGAGAGTGTACACAGACCATTGAACGATGTGTCTGGCACATCGAGGACTGCAGTCCTCGGTCCTTCCTTGAAAACCGAGGCTGAATGTCAGCAGTTGCCTCTGTGAACGGCTCAACACCAGGGCTTGGCACCCACGTTCCAGAGGAGACCGGCGGTTTCCCATCCCTCCCTCCCGGCAGAGATTGACTAGCAAAGTCAGCTTTGCACAGGGCTCGC